GTTTACACTCGAAGTAGATTGGTCCCTCTAAGCGAGATCCCAATTTCGTCGGTTCCTCCGACGTGACGTCTCCGTTCCCTCCTTCAGGGAACGAGGGTTACATACGTAACCGAGACGTTATCTTTATTGAAGTGAATTAGGTTTAAATCGCCATCATGCATGAATGAATGATATTTTTGCAAGTTTACACATAATAATCCATGATGATCACATTACACAAAACTGAAATTGCACATCAAAATAACACATTGTCAATATTTTTGAGACCCCCCAAAATTTCACAAATCATGTTTTCAGGGGAGCCCATGTCTTATTAAGGGGAGCCGAGCTCCCCCTAGCTCCCCCATAGTTCGCACCCTGGCTTAAAGCATTTCATTAAAGAGGAACCTCTAAGGCTGGTGTGGTGTGTAAAATTCAGTCTGCGGTCCATTGGTTCACTGACATTTTCCAACTGGATAAAAATTAATATAAAAAAAGCATTTGGCAAATGGATTAGGAAGTGCAACTGATCATTGACTTTAAAAGTTGCATTTAGAAATAAGTTCTTAAATTATTATTTTATTGAAATGTTAGTAAATAAAGTATTTACTACATATAATATAGTAATATTATATGTTTAAATATTTAAAATAATATTAGTAATTGTACGAAAAACTATACTATAGTACATTTAACTTATGTCTGTGTATTTGTAAATTTTAATAATTTATTAATGTGTTATTTTATTGTTACACTTAACTTTTTTAATCTGAATTAAATCTTAAATAAATAAAAAAATGTTAATGTCTATTTACTCGTCATTTTGATAAGTAATTTATCAGTTTACATTTTTATTGTTTAATAAATTGATAATTAATTTAATTGTATTGTATTAGCCCTCCATATATAATTTTTTGAATAATCAAGCTACCGTTTAAAAGTTTGGGGCGGTAAGATGTTTTAAAATGTTTTTTTTTTTTAAAGAAGTCTCTTATGCTCACCATGGATGCATTAGTTTGATCAAAAATATGATAAAAACAGTAATATTGTGAAATATAATTACAATTTAAAATAGCTGTTTTCTAAATAAATGTATTTTAAAATGTCATTTATTTCTGTGACGGCAATGCTTGATTTTCAGCAGCCATTACTGCAGTCTTTAGCATCACATGATCCTTCAGAAATCATTCAAATAAGCTGATTTGGTGCTCAAGAAACATTTCTTATTACATTACATATCAATGTTCAAAACACTTGTGCTGCTTAATAGTTTTGTGGGAATTGTAATACATGCAGAATAAAAGGATTCTTTTTTTATTAAATTTTTTAAATATATATATATATATATATATATACACACACAGTATATATGTTATAAGTTTAGATTCTAATAATGAGAAATTACAGGCCTCATGCCATGACGTTATTATAAATGTAGTTACAGGACACTGATGAGAACTAAGCGTCTAGTTGTTCATTGTGGACTTTTCCCGTCTCTCCGCAGCCATCCGTGGCTTCTCTCCACAGCACAAGATCAACAGCTTTGCAGAGGCTAAAGGTCTGGACCGCATCAACGAGCGCATGCCACCCCGCAAGGATGGAGTCAACCACGTGGGCCACTCCATGGGCAAGATGAACATGTCTGAGACCAACGGCACCGAAGACAACAGTAACATCCAGTGATGAAACGGCTGTCCACTCACCTGCACCTGAGTCCATGCCACCGCCACGACGCATGGCATGACAACGCCAAACCCGTGATTTAAGGCCTCCTGCTTCCAAAAACACCCAATGACATCACCTACACATCCCTCCCTTCTCCAATGTCCAATTAGAGAACCAAACTATCTTTAATGTTTCACTGAAAAGAGGCAGGATGTTTTCTTGCTGTCAGTTTGCCGCTTGCAATTTTCGAAGCGGATACCTTGCCGATGGCAAGTTTCTGCCTTTTTTTGGGAGTGTCGAATGGGAAGGAGGGGTGGGGGGGGGGGTTTGCCTGTGAAGGGCTGAAAGTGTCTTTATCAGAGAGAGGGCGGTCTTAGTTCCTTTCTGACTCCACCCACATGCCAAGTGGGCGGGGTTTGGGAACTCTCTCTTAAGCCTGATCCATCCAGTTCGTCTCGTCGGTGCGGGTGATGAGCCCATACCGGTTCCATGCACACTTTTTTTCCTTTTTTGATTCTGAGTTTTTCTTCATGATCCCATCTCATAACGAAATGATCTCACTGTTGACAATGTTTTGCTACTAGTATTAATAAATATACAAATTTGAAATGACAAAAAAACGAAAAATGTTTGTAAGAAAGGACATTTAACAACAAATCCTGTACATTTTATTACTTACGATGCAATCTTACCTGGGGGGGTTTTATTTCTTGATTTGGTTTTTGGTAAGATGTCATGAAGCAGTAGAGGAGGAGAGCAGTGCTGCTTGTCCGCCGTAGACTCTCGATCAAAGCAACCGTTCGGATGGAGGAAAACCGCAGTTGAAGCTCAAGCTCAACCTTTGGCGCAACCTTCCTGATTGTTTCTCACTTGCCTGTATTTCAAGAGAGAATGCACATAGTACATTTCGCAAGTCAAATAAATATTATATAAATATATATAAATATATTTAAATATGATTATTAACAAGGGTCGAGGACAATGATTTTTAACAGCATCTATGGTACTGAACGCATCAGTGCATGCAATTAAGTTCCTTATTGATATGTGAAATTATAATTGTGATGTGTTTCAATATAGTAGACTTGAATTATTTCCCTTCAAATTATATTTGTAAAGGTCTAGTTTGTTTTTATATCTCTATAAATAGATATGATTTTGTAATCTTTTATTTAATTTCTTTTCTTTTTTCCATCAATATCATTTTATTATCGTTGATTTTATTTTTGTAGTTTCGCTGTACAGGCACTGACGCTCTTTCCGAGATGTTTTTTCGTCATCTTTAGTTCTTTCGTTCTCTCTGTTCAGTTGGTGTACAGAAGTTGTTCAGTAGTGTGAATGAACATATTACTCAGTGAAAAGCAACATTCAGGCTGCCAAAGCATGATCGCATGGTTCAAATGTAAACTAATTGGACACGAGGAAAATTCAGTGTCTCACTTTGAAGAGGAAAACTATATTATCATTATGATTCTTGATGATCTTCTTATTATTCTTACAATTAAGCTTACGGTTCTTTCATTTCCACTGTTTTCTGATCCTTGTTTGGTACAGACGTGGTTCATTTCAAAGAAGGAATTTTATGGATTTGTGACTATTTTTCTTGTAATTTTCTCTGGAACTAAGTTTTCGCATTTGACTTCCTAAATGAAAACACATATTGTAAGCATGCCCTATGGGACAAATCACTTTTTTTACTCTTGAATAAAATATGCATGAACTAATCTGTCTTTCCCCTTTCAATGATGGACTGAAAACATTGGTTGGAAAAAAGGGGGGGGGTTTTCTCTCAAAAAAAGCAAAATGATTATTCAACAGATGCTTAATTAATAATCAAGAATGAAAATGTCATTTTTAACATAACATTAATGTTTAGAAATGCAAAGACCACAGTTTGTATGAGTTTCTTTTTTTTTTAGAAACTTCTTAGTTTCAAAGGCTTAGTCAGTGAGGGCTTTTTTCCATGAGGGCATCCCACCTGTTTCCTGCTATTCTTCCACAGGAAGCTCAGGGGGCCGCAGCTACTTCTCCCTCAAACCAGAGCTCGGTGCCCACTGACACACACCCAAACACATGCTTCTCAGCGGGACTTTGTAATACTATGTGCACTCCCTCATGTGTTACTATTATACAAAACAGGAAACAAAATTGGACATACTGGTTAATGCTTCAACCAAATTTACTCGCTCAAGAACATTTCCATAGTTTTTCTGCTTTGTTTTTTTTTACACATTTAATTATTGTAATTATTTCCTGATATCTGGGATATATACGACCTGTCCTGTGTAAGTGGAGGAGAGTAAAACGTATTTGGATTGAGACATGGAGCAGCTCATTTTTCTTATCATTCCCCTGTTTGCATCTTCATCCATAATCTCAGCAGGTAAGTCAATCAGAAGCCAATTTTATATATTAGTATATAGTAAAAAGAAAGGGAAAATGGGAAAAGTATATAATAGTAAATGGGGAACTGGGGGGTTATTGCTAGTGATCAAAGTTTTAAAATGTTTTCTGGCTTAAATTGCAAAAGTCACTGACTACGTATGGTGGCCCCAAAAAGGCTTTTTTTTTTGTATGCAGTTTTGTTTTTATGAAATGTATATTCTCTGTGCAACTTGCACAGGAAATGACACAAGCATACAAACTATGTTACCTCCAAACACAAATGCTACATCTCCATGGTCTGTTTATTCAAGAACAGGTGAGTATTTCTATTAAATTGTGTATAATTCTCATATCTTAACAAAAATTTCCCATATCAAAGATGTTTTGAACAATTGGTAACCTTCATTTTGCCATTGTTTAGATCATATTAATAGGTAAATGTCCAACATGTTTTCTTAAATGTATCTGTGACGGTGTAACTTTATTTGCACAAATAGACATGAACCACAAAATGTCATTCTTCCTTCAGCATGTATAGTAGTAAAATGTATAAATAAAAAAGTTTTTATTTAATCTGTGAAGAAAAAACAATTACAGTTAATCTTAATGTAAATATATCTCTTTTTTTATTTCAGAAGTCCAAACTGAAAAAACAATGACTTCTACTTTTTCATCTCAATATGAGAATGGCATGACCAGCCACACCTCAAAAACTGTGAGCATAACCACAGCTCCTGTATCTTCTAGCCACACAGGTAAGGCACAAATATAAATTCAGTTGATGTAAATATACAGTCATGTGGACTGTACCTCTGTTTAACAGTACTAATGGATCATCTCTTCACATAGCACATCAGATATTAATTACAATGGATCCTCTGCAGTGAATGGGTGCCGTCAGAATGAGCGTCCAAACAACTGATAAAAAACATTGACTTCCTAAATGAAAACACATATTGTAAGCATGCCCTATGGGACAAATCACTTTTTTTACTCTTGAATAAAATATGCATGAACTAATCTGTCTTTCCCCTTTCAATGATGGACTGAAAACATTGGTTGGAAAAAAAGGGGGGGTTTTTTCTCTCAAAAAAAGCAAAATGATTATTCAACAGATGCTTAATTAATAATCAAGGATGAAAATGTCATTTTTAACATAACATTAATGTTTAGAAATGCAAAGACCACAGTTTGTATGAGTTTCTTTTTTTTTTAGAAACTTCTTAGTTTCAAAGGCTTAGTCAGTGAGGGCTTTTTTCCATGAGGGCATCCCACCTGTTTCCTGCTATTCTTCCACAGGAAGCTCAGGGGGCCGCAGCTACTTCTCCCTCAAACCAGAGCTCGGTGCCCACTGACACACACCCAAACACATGCTTCTCAGCGGGACTTTGTAATACTATGTGCACTCCCTCATGTGTTACTATTATACAAAACAGGAAACAAAATTGGACATACTGGTTAATGCTTCAACCAAATTTACTCGCTCAAGAACATTTCCATAGTTTTTCTGCTTTGTTTTTTTTTACACATTTAATTATTGTAATTATTTCCTGATATCTGGGATATATACGACCTGTCCTGTGTAAGTGGAGGAGAGTAAAACGTATTTGGATTGAGACATGGAGCAGCTCTTTTTTCTTATCATTCCCCTGTTTGCATCTTCATCCATAATCTCAGCAGGTAAGTCAATCAGAAGCCAATTTTATATATTAGTATATAGTAAAAAGAAAGGGAAAATGGGAAAAGTATATAATAGTAAATGGGGAACTGGGGGGTTATTGCTAGTGATCAAAGTTTTAAAATGTTTTCTGGCTTAAATTGCAAAAGTCACTGACTACGTATGGTGGCCCCAAAAAGGCTTTTTTTTTTGTATGCAGTTTTGTTTTTATGAAATGTATATTCTCTGTGCAACTTGCACAGGAAATGACACAAGCATACAAACTATGTTACCTCCAAACACAAATGCTACATCTCCATGGTCTGTTTATTCAAGAACAGGTGAGTATTTCTATTAAATTGTGTATAATTCTCATATCTTAACAAAAATTTCCCATATCAAAGATGTTTTGAACAATTGGTAACCTTCATTTTGCCATTGTTTAGATCATATTAATAGGTAAATGTCCAACATGTTTTCTTAAATGTATCTGTGACGGTGTAACTTTATTTGCACAAATAGACATGAACCACAAAATGTCATTCTTCCTTCAGCATGTATAGTAGTAAAATGTATAAATAAAAAAGTTTTTATTTAATCTGTGAAGAAAAAACAATTACAGTTAATCTTAATGTAAATATATCTCTTTTTTTATTTCAGAAGTCCAAACTGAAAAAACAATGACTTCTACTTTTTCATCTCAATATGAGAATGGCATGACCAGCCACACCTCAAAAACTGTGAGCATAACCACAGCTCCTGTATCTTCTAGCCACACAGGTAAGGCACAAATATAAATTCAGTTGATGTAAATATACAGTCATGTGGACTGTACCTCTGTTTAACAGTACTAATGGATCATCTCTTCACATAGCACATCAGATATTAATTACAATGGATCCTCTGCAGTGAATGGGTGCCGTCAGAATGAGCGTCCAAACAACTGATAAAAAACATTACAATAATCCACAAGTAATCCACATGAACTGAAAAGCTGTGTATTTGTAATTAAAAAAAGTCAGCTGTGTTTCCAGCTAAAATATGAGTCCTCTATTCATAATATTTCTTTCTCCAGTAAACAAGTTGTCTCTTCTGAATCAGGAGAGAAACATGCCCAATCTAGCACCATTTGCAAGTGAAAACAGTCCAAAACATTTCTAAACAAATATGTCTGTTGATCTTTATGTGAGAGGATAACACGGGATCGACTTTTTCACTGGAGGGAGCATTATTATGGACTACAGACTGGCATTTTGGCCAGAAGCAATGATTTAAAGTTAAAACGCCTTAATAATGGATTTGTTTCTTAAAAACACACAGCTTTTTGCATCACAACAAGATGTTAATTGATGGATTGGCGTCTTGTGTATTCCTTGTGGATTATTGTGATGTTTTTTAACAGCTGTTTGAATTTTCATTCTGACGGCACCCATTCACTGCAGAGGATCCATTGGTGAGCAAGTGATGTAATGCTAAATTTCTCCAAATCTGTTTTGATGAAGAAACACACTCATCTTCATCTTTTATGGCTTAAGGGTGAGTACATTTTCATTTTTGGGTGAACTATTCCTTAAATTATAATATTCAATATATATAGTATTGTGTAGGAGTGTATTTGGAGAAGACTGCAATTTCATTATTTTGACTGCAAGTTGATGGCTTATCTTGCTTGTCTACTAAGTGAAATTCATTCTGAGAACTGTGAGGTTAACACAATACATTTTATTAAAGTTGTAAAATTGTGTATTACAGGACAGTCCATCATTACCAGCTCCAAGTTAACAACACCAAAATCCTACACTGACACAACTCTAAATTCCACCTCATCCCCAGCAGCCAAAATAACAGGTTTTACCTCCTCCTTCTGGTTAAGACTCTGCCACGCCCCCCTAAAACGGCTTATTCTAACACGCCCCCACATATCTACCTCACTATGTGGAAATATTTGCATAATGCAGCCCAAATGTGCACGCAAAGAAAGAAGGCGTCGTTTCAGTAACCGCAGTTAGTGTTGAAGCAGTCATGTCAGGGAGACGCTGTGTGTTTCTAGGCGAAAGCAAAAGCACTTTATTTGGCCTTCCGAAA